TATCTCCCATCACTCCTCTTCATCACCCATCACACCTCTTTGTCTCCCATTACTTCTTTTCGTCTCCCATCACTCCTCTTCGTCTTTCATCACTTCTTTTTGTCTCCCATCACTCCTCTTAATCTTCTCATCACTTCTTTTTTTTTATCTCCCATCACTCCTCTTTGTCACCCATCACTTCTTTTCGTCTTCCATCACTCCTTTTCATCTCTCATCATGTCCTATTTCTCCTTTTGGTTCCTATCACTTCTCATTACTCTTTTTTACTCCCTTTCATCTTCTATTACTTTACTAAAAATGGCCAATTTTTTGAAATGATTTTATAATAATTTTAAAATACTACAAAAATACATTTAATACATCAAAATGTTTTTATTATATTTTTGCTATTATTTTGTTATTTTATTGTATCTAGGTCTATAAAAATAACTCAAAATAATATCACAATAATTTTTTAATGTTTTTGTTATTATTTTATTATTATAATATAATTAACTTTGATATTACTTTACAGAAACTAATAAATTTGAAATGACTAAGCCGCGAATGTGCCACAATTTCGCCACCTATCTGTGGCGGTAAAATCACAACGATTACGTTACTTTTTACTTAACGTAGCCGCAGCAGTTCGTATCAAATGGTTAGGTAGAGTACTGGTAGAGTATACATTAAGTAGTCATAGCGAATTAAAGTTATAATTAGGTAGAGACTACGCAGAAACTACATTACAATTAAGCAATAATTTATATACATAATTGTCACAATATGACAATAAAATCAAATATTATATTAAACGCATTACTATACATCTATATTAAAGTTCTTATACAAAAAGTAAAATTTTAGTCCAACGGCATTTTTCATTTGCCCTTTGCTCATTCGTTAAAGTAAATAATTTAAATAAAAAAATAACTTTCATCTAAACATCTAAAGAACTGAAGATCCATCTAAAAGAATAAAAAATGAAATTGTTAGCGTAATTAAAAAGTTTAAGCAGATAAATGGTTCGTTAAAGAATAATTAAAAACTGTTAATATCCTACCATATTCCCACACATCCAAATAGTCAAAAAGCCAAGCTGTCTACAAAAAAATAAATGCAACATTAGTAATCATTTCATTAAAAGGACTAAAAAACAACCTCCTCTTTCTTACCGAGTTTCCACACGTCCAAATACTCCAAGAAGAACTGACTGTTTACAAAAAAGAATAAACGAAACATTAGTGAATGTTTCGTTAAAATAGATTAAAAAATTCCAGCTCTCTACCAAAATTCATGCATCCAGAAAAATTGGCTGTCTAAAAAAAAGAATAAAAAATGAAATGTAACTTTCGTTAAATGTTAAAATAAAAAATTCAAGAAAGATTGCTGAAATACCACTAAAATTCCATGATTGTACGCATCCTAGTATCTGAAAAACTAGTCGCCTATAAAATAAAAAAATATAACGAAACATTAGTAAGTTTCGTCAAAATAAAAGATAAAAAAGAAACCCACCAAGGAATATGCTCCAGAAAATTCAACAAAAAATCCAGGCTTCGAACGTCTAAAAAGAATGAATAAAATGTTAAAAAATTTTTCATTGAAAGAAATATATTAATTAAATCCTTTCCTTACCGAACTCCCACATGTCCAAAAAAACTTAAAAAAAAAGAAAATTAGTATATAAATGAAAAAAATCAAAAATCGATGAAGATAAAAATACCTACCTAAGAGAGCACCATTCACATAATCAAAGTGCCAAAGACCCGCTAAAGAGAATAAAAATGAAATAATCGTCAGATTACTTTTGGAACCAGTTTCCTGCAAAATAAAGAAAATGTTAGGTAATGTTATTTTATAAAAAAAAAACTTAATATATTTAAGTAGTTTTCAAAACATTCCGAATACTTGCTTGGAATTTAATTTTTTTAAATCTTTGAATTGAAGGGAGCTATGCTTCAAAATCGGACCTGGATTCCTACA